TTTCCTTTACGTGAAATACTGCCAAATTTCTCTAAGGCTAGCTCAATCCCATCCTTTACACATTAGCTCAAAACGTCAAGTTTGCAGAGGCTTTTGCTGGGTGCTGTTGCATTGCATAACTCCAGGGGGCGCTGTTCCCATAGGCTGTAATGCGAATGGGGCCTCACTGGAACTGAGTAACATGGCAGCTGTTTCCACTGCCCAGCCCATGAAATCCTGCTTGTTCTCTATCACCCCATCTGATTTCATTTACTTCTTAGCACTTACCCCTATCTAAAACGAACTATTTCATTTATATAACTTATTTATTTTCTGTGTCCCTGTGATACTGTGACTCATAATATGAAAAATACATTTGGTCTTTGTCCCAGTTTCTGGCATAGAGCTCCTAAAATCCTTGGAATTTCTTAAGTGATGAGTACAATAAAGGTGTCTTTTGTTATGTTAATGATGTGACTTTTGGAACACACCTAAGGATGGTGGCTGGCTGCCAGGAGAACCAACCATGTGATTAGAGGGTTGGAACTTTCAGTTCCATCCCCTCACCTCTGGGGAGGGGAGAGGGGCTGGAGACTTAATCAACCACCAGCAGCCAAAGATTTAATCCGTCCTGCCTATGTAACGAAGCCTCCATAAAAACCCAAAAGGACAGGGTTGGGAGAGCCTCTGGATTGGTGAACACGTGGACCTTTGGGGAAAGTGATGTGCTCCAAGAGGGCATGGAAACTCTGCGCCCTTTCCTCACACCTCGCCCTATGCATCTCTTCCATCTGGCTGTTCCTGAGTTATATCCTTTTATAATAAGTCAATAATCTGATAAGTAAAATATTTCTCTGAGTTCTGCAAGCCACTCCAGCAAATTAAGCAAACCCAAGGATGGGGTCATGGGAATCTCTGAATTATAGAGATGCAGTCAGAAGCATGGGTTATAAACTGAATTTGTGATTGCCAGCTGAAATGGAGGTGGGGTAAGTCTTGTAGGACTGAATACTTAACCTGTGGAATCTGATGCTATCTCCAGGTAGCCATATGATCCAGCTATTCCACTGCTGGGTATTTATCCTAAGAACATGAAAATAAAAATGTGTGATGATACATGCACCCGTATGTTCACTGCAGCATTATTCACAATAGCCAAGACTTGGAAACAGTCTAAGTGCCCATCAATGGACGAATGGATAAAGATGTAGTGGGGGCAGCCCCGTGGTGTAGCGGTTAAGTGCATGCGCTCCTCTGCAGCGGCCCTGGGGTTCGCGGGTTTGGATCCCGGGCGCGCACTGACACACCTCTTGTCAAGCCATGCTGTGGCGGAGTCCCATATAAAGTAGAGGAAGATGGGTACGGATATAAGTCAGATGGAGAAAGTCAAATATCGTATGATCTCACTCATAAGTAGAAGATAAAAACAACAACAACAACAAACAAACACATAGATGCAGAGATTAGACTGGTGGTCACCAGAGGGGATCTGGGGATGGAGGAGGACGAAAGACGTGACAGGGCACATATGTATGGTGATGGATTATAATTAGTCTTTGGGTGGTGAACGTGTTGTAGTCTACACAGAAATCGAAATATAATGATGTACACTTGAAATTTATATAATGTTATAAACCAATGTTACCTCAATAATAAAAAAATAAAATAAAATAAAGAATTGAGTTGAATTGTAGGACCCCCCAACTGGTGTCAGAGCATTGTTTGGTGATAGTGGGGGGAGGTCCTCCCACATTGGAATTGGGTACAGAACCCTGTTTAGTCCCCCAAGAATATGTAAGCTTCATAAAGACAGGGACCTTTCTTATTTACTGTTGTTTGGGAAAGACTTAGTGACAGGCCCATTTTAGCGCTTAATAAATTATTTGTTGGATATTTTTGAATATGTTATACTGACTTCCAATAATCCTTGCCTCATCAAAATCAGAGTTGCTGTAGGGTAAAAAGTTTCAAAGACATCCTGGGCATTGACGTAGTAAGCTAGGATCACAAACTATTTCTTACATTTTTTGCGCTTTAAATTTTATGAGCTTTGCTGCAAATTAGGATTCTCAGTATCATTGACAAAATAAACACTTATTTGACAAAAATTAAGAAGTCTCAGAATATCAAGTGTTGGAGAAGATATTGATCAACATATATGACTTTTATATTTTAGATGGGAGTGTATCTTGGTTCAACCACTTTGGAAACTAGTTAGATGTGACCTTGTAAAGTTAGTATTCCTGTCACTCAGAAATTCTCCTAGGGGCTGGCCCGGTGGCACAAGCAGTTAAGTGCGCGTGCTCCGCTGCGGCGGCCCGGGGTTCGCTGGTTCGGATCCCGGGCACGCACTGACGCACTGCTTGTCGAGCCACATGGCGGTGTCCCATATAAAGTAGAGGAAGATGGGCATGGATGTTAGCTCAGGGCCAGTCTTCCTCAGGAAAAAAAAAAAAGATTGGCATCAGATGTTAGCTCAGGGCTGATCTTCCTCACACACACAAAAAAAAAAAAAAAAAAAAAACAGTAAAAAAAAAAAAAAAGTAAAAAAAAGAAAAAGAAATTCTCATAAGTGGATAACTAAGAGAAATTCCTTCACTTGTTCCCAGGAGATGGTATAAGGATGTTCATAGTAACCCAATTTATGACAACAACAACAACAATAGAAACAACCCAAATGCCCAATGATAAGAAAATAGACAAATAATTGGTGCTCTGGCAATTTATGAAGTGAATGAATTCATTACAAATACACACAAAATCTAGAAGAATCTTTGTAATATAGTAATATATTGGTATTCGTAATATATTAGTAATTAGTAATATAATCCTGAATGAAAACAAGCAAGTCCCAGAAGATTATGTAAAACCTGATGCTTTTTTAATCAAGTTCATTTTTAAAAACGTACACAATTATTAAGAACAAAAAGAACAACAGAATGATAAACTCAACATTCACCATTGTGGTTACGTCGAGTGTGCGAAAGCAGGGACAGGATTGGGATGCAGTACACAATTAAATGGAATTTGCTGTCAGTATTCTAGTTCTTGGGTTGGATGGTGGCTTCTGGCATTAAACCACTGGCTTCCACACCATGATTTTATATTCCCCCCTTCCATGGAGAGAAGACTTCTAGGAGACAGGCCCAAAGGTGACTCTTAAAGGATGACCTGGATCCAGGACCACGTCTACTCAGCTTTGTATTCCTAGGGCCTATATACAGTGTCCTCAGTAAGGTTTCTTGAACGAGTGAATTAGTGAGTGAATAAATGAGAGAAAAATGTAAAGTTCTTTTGGTGACTATTGAGTGTAGTCCAAATAACCACTTACCCCCATACTTTGCCCTGCCCCCTACATATATCAAATTATGTAACTAATTTCCTAATTAGTTGAAAATAAAAAAGAACTAATATCTTCTCAGAGTAGTAAACAACCACATAGCATTTTCCATATAGACTATTCCATAACACTCTTCAGTATTGGGCTGTGCAGGGAGAAAAAGATTCCAAATCAAATACAATACAGAAAAAGCTTTTTAATGCACTTTTTTTTTTTCCAGGGAAAAGAGCTTCAGAAAACATCCATCATTAAGTAGTTTTACGAATGGCACTTTTGGCTACATTAGAGAATTAGGTATGAGTCCCATGTGTTTTCTCTGATAGGTCAGTAGTACATCAGCTTTATAATGCAACCCTTTCTTCGGATAAAAAATGGCTAATTTGTTCCAAAGGACAGGAAAAGCTGAAACCCTAACGTCATTGTTTTTAAAATTTAACATTTATTTCATGCTATACTATTTTCATATTATAATTTTAAGTATTATGCTACAATTTTTAAGAAAGGGAGAAAATAAATTTCAACATAATTTAAAAATAACATATATATTAAGTACATATATTAATGCATTTGACAATACCATATGCTAACTTTGATAATGAACTTCATTTTGGTACCCTGCAGAATTTTCCTTTTGGTATTGAACTCAGGAAATACATATTACACCTGAAATTCTGCCTTAAATGAGTAAAACCATGATCAATGACATCACTAGACTCTGATCAATTAGCAAAAACTGAAATGTTCTAGAGTTACTCTAATCATTTATAATCAAAATGAAACAGGTTAATACTCAACAAGAGAGAACAGTTAATATCATCAATTTGAAATAGATCTTGAAAGCAGATTATTTTCACAACACATTTGAAAGGAATGAGTATTTGGAAATGTGAGACTCCATTTTGAACTGAAAGCAATGATTTTTAAATAATTAATTGCTACCATTCCAACACATTCACCTTTTAAAAGGTAGTGTGAAGTTGATCGCACATCTAATCTACTCAAACATGGATATCTTCTTCATTACACCCACTATTTCTCAACTAGTCCCCTTATCAATTTATATAGTTATTTAACAGAGATTAATAATCACGCATCAGACAACAAGACCAACCCAAAGGCAACTGCATTTTTCTCTCGACAGCAGAATTAAAAAGCATGGCTTTCAAATTTGCTCTGCTAGCACTCACTATGCTAATGAAGAAACAAAAAACGATTTGAATCTCCATCACGAAAACATAAACACATTACACAAACACCTGAAAAGTCAGAAGTGTTTTCTGTGAGAACAAAAAAATCCATTTCAGGGATTCTCAATGAGTGAAACCTCACACACAATACACTGATACACACAGACATGCACATCCATGTAAAATAAAAGCTCTTAGAAATATTGCTTATCGTTAATTTAGAATAATTCTTGTGTTACACTTAGGAATGGAATTTCTAAATTTTAAAGCAATTCAGCTGTCAAAATATCACACAAAAAATTTATTTTTTAATGATATCATTTAACACACAAGGCCTGAATCAATTAAAATCGACTCACTTTTACCTTCACAGGTACATGGCACTACTTGCATTTTATGAGTATCCCAAAGCCAAAGGCCTATTTTCACTGGCTTAGGCTCTTCTACAGAAGGCTATACTATAAAGGACTTTGGATTGGAAGCGGGGAAACTAGTGTATGGTCCAGGCTTTTGCCCCAACAAGCCTCATGAGGTTGGGTATGCCCCTTGACCATTCCACACATTAGTTTCCTCACTAGCAAAACAGGAAGACCAAGCTGTGCTCTCCATGCCTCCACATAGCATTATCATTTTAGGATTTTCTGACTTTGAAGTTTTCATGAGGCATTGGGCTTTATTCCCAACTTAATACCCAGTGTTTGAGCAGTAATTTGCCTCTGGATAGATGAAGCCTTTCAATAACCAGGTAACTTCTTGGTCCTTTACTCGATAAATAGTGAGTACCTACTCTTGGTGGATTAAAAATAGCCAAAAATTCCTTGCAGCTCCTCCCATCAAAAGGTAGAGTCTATTTCCCCACCTCTTGATTCTGAGCCAGCTTTGTAACTTCCTTTGGCCAACAAAATGCTATGGAAGAAACACTCTGTGACTTCCAAGCAAGTCCACAGAAGATCTTGCAGGTTCCTTTCTCACCCTCTTCAGTCTCATGAGGCCAAATAAGGAAGCCTGGGCTAGCTGTGGGGAAAGGCCACATGGAGTGGGACTGAGGCACCTCAACCAACAGCCACAGCCAACCACGAGACATGTGCATGAAGCCATCCAAGATCAGCCAGCTCCCAATCAACCTGACCACTGACCACAAATGTCTGTGTGAACCCAACCCCCACCACGTGAAGCAGTGGCTCGCCATCCCCGCAGAGCTCTGCCCAAACTGCCAACCCGCAGCATCATGAGCAAATAGTGTCATAAGCCACATCTTGGGGCGGTTTGTTAGACAGCAGTGGATAGCTGACACGCTACCGTGTGGAACTGTGCTAGGTAAAGGGAATGCCCTTTGTAACAAGACACAGTCCCTGTTCTACAGATGCTTAGGGTGTACTTAGGGAGACAGACAGATAATGGGACAATTTCAAAGTAAATGTCATCAGTGCTATAATTACAGGCGGTTGGTGCATAAGGGTTCATGGGACTTTAGAGATGGGGCATCAATCCCAGAACTAGGGCATCAGAGGAGATAATATCTAAGGGGAGTTAATAAGACAGATTTTCCCCAGCAAAGATGGAGAAAGAAGAATATTCCAGGGAGGACAAACTGCATATGCAAAAGCTGGAGGGAGCTAACCGGGGCCCCTATGATAGTGGGAGCATTCACTTTAATAACAACGTGAGGATGTTGGGGTGGGCTGGAGGGGTAGCTAAGGTAAAGCTCTCTTGGCCTTAAGTAGAATTCTCTGGCATTTGGCCTTTAAACTGAGGGTGATGGGAGCCAAAGGAGGAAACAGTTCCTTCAATCCTCTTTTTCCTTCCTTCCTATTTCTTTGACCAAAGACATCAACGGCACTCTCTGAACCAAAGAAATTTCAAGGGCAGGAGGCTGTGTGGAGGAGATAAAGATAGATGCTTCTCTGGTGCTTAGATTGGCTAAAGGGAAGTGATATTATCCTGGGGTCCAAGATAATGGGCATGAGGACATGAGTAAAAAGTACGAGTAGCAGACAAGAAGAAGATGCCATTCCTCAGAAGGTGTTCCTTCTTCTTTTGTCATTTAATGAGTATCTAGGGACAGAAAGCATTTAAAGCTCATCTTTTAAAGAGGTTATAAAATTTTTTTTAAAGCCAAATGGTAAGGCCTCCCACTTACTAGTTATGGGGCCTTGGGCATATGACTAACCTCTTTAGGAGTCAGTTTCCTCAGTTGTAAAATGGGGATAATAACAATATTGACCTCACAGGTCAATAAGGATAAGCAACATACAGTTTTAGCACAGCACCAGGTACAGAATAAGCCCTAAACAGAAGGTCCCTAAATGGGGAAAGACTGAATTGGCGGGTGGGGTGGTAACATGGATTTAACAATTAAATAAACCCGTGTGAACTTAGACTGTTTTTAAACTTGCTCAGATTTAGTTTCTACATCTGAAAAACGAGAGTGATGATACCTACCTTGCAGGGTTGTGATGAAGATTAAAAGAGATCATATATGTTAAATGCCATAGCACAGAGCCTGGCATACAGTATAAATGCACATACACACAAAGACAATAATATTTCTCAAATTTAGATCGACAGTATTAATATTAGACACTCTATATTACTTCAAAATCTTATTCTCTGACTAAAGCTACAGATCAGAAGAGTTGGATTACCAGAAACATAGATATATGTAACATCTTTAGCACAATATATCCATTCCATCAGTACCAATACTTATGATAACCTATCACAAAAAAATGGCTGAGGTACAACATTCATATTTTATTTTGTTAACACATGATAAGAAAGTAACCTCGTCGTTTATTATGCATTATATGAAATTAAGAACAATTTAGCATTCCCTGATTCCCTAATTTGGCACTTTGAGGAATTTCTTCTATACACCAAGCCCCAAAATGTATTCTTTTCTAGACCAAAAAAAGAAACATGCATATATACAAGTGAGCTGAAAAGTTACAACACAAGAGGGTGCTTTTGGTGAAAAATAATCCTGCCAAATAAGCCGGATATCATGTCCTTAAAATATGTTACACTAGAAAGCTATAAAAATTCAGGCCAAGAGGCAATTAATTTAGTTTCAAGTTTTATCACACACGGGCCAAGTTTTAGAATACTTCACTTAAAAAGGGACAACCTCAAAGTAAAATCTTGCCAGAGGCTTGATTTTGAATTATATGTGTCTATACAAACGTCTCTGTTTTGACATTCACCATATTCAGGATTAATTCTAGAAAGCTGCAGTAGCTGATGGATAGAACAAAATGATTCAGGCTCAGAAAGAGAAAACAGAGTAAACAATTTTAAGCAGTATCTCCCCGTTGACCCACCCATATCGTCACCAACTTTTTGTGTTTTAACTAATGCCATAATTGAAAACACATGTTAAGTTAAAAGTTGATGCTAAAGGCAGGAATTAAGAAAAGTCATTTTCTGATGGCTTTTAAGCACTTGAATGCTTTAGAACCTTCTTAAAAATGCTAATAAACAAGTAATATTCCATTGGATGTTTGCTTTAATTTGAAGCTCAGTGAAATCTAGCCCCTGTAACAAACAGTTACGTGCTAATTTTGGTGGGACTTCAATGCAAAACTGTAAAAACTATTCTATTGACCCCTAACAAGGGGATTTCAGCATGATGCTGTTTTGGCATTCAACAACTTTCTGCAAACTAAGATAAAAAACAATGGATGAGAACTATAAATAGAAATTGAGTAAGGCAATTCTACCATGTAAGAAAATTCTGTTTCACAAATTTTTTCTACACTGACATAAGCTTTTTTTTTTTTTTTTTAAAGATGTATTACCCGGTTCTTCCACACTCAAACAGTGTATGAAACTCGAATTAAGATGTGTGTGTTTGGAGAAAAGATTGGTATGTCCAAAGCCATCCATTTGTATGGAAGTCTTGTCATTGCATTGCTCTGTGTTGTTCTGGCTTTCATCATCCACAGGCCGCTCGAAGGGCTGGGAGGGCCACCTGCTCAGCACTCCAACTCTTCCATGACTTCCATGACAATTGTCCGTGGGCCCGTCAGAATCAGATTGCTCACGGTCCGGTAGTCTACATGCAGCACGTTGAGCCCATTTACAGAGACGACGAACTGACAGACCTAAAGGAAAGACAAAGACGAAAGAATCTATTAGACACATGAAAAGATGTTCAACATCATTAACCATCAGAGAAATGCACATCAAAACTACAATGAGATATCACCTCACCCCGTCAGAATGGCTATAATTAACAAGACAGGAAACAACACGTGTTGGAGAGGATGTGGAGAGAAGGGAACTCTCATACACTGCTGGTGGGAGTGCAAACTGATGCAGCCACTATGGAAAACAGTATGGAGATTCCTCAAAAAATTAAGAACAGAACTACCATGCGACCCAGCTATTCCGCTGCTGGGTATTTATCCAAAGAACATGAAAGCATGAATATGTAAAGATACATGCATCCCTGTGTTCATTGCAGCGTTATTCACAATAGCCAAGGCTTGGAAGCAACCTAGGTGCCCATCAAGGGACGAATGGATAAAGAAGATGTGGTATATATACACAACGGAATACTACTCAGCCATAAGAAATGATGATATCCAACTATTTGTGACAACATGGATAGACCTTGAGGGTATTATGCTAAGTGAAATAAGTCAGAGGGAGAAAGTCAAATACCATATGATCTTACTTATAAGTAGAAGAAAAAAACAACAACAAACAATCACATAAAGACAGAGACTGGATTGGTGGTTATCAGAGGGGAAGGGGGGAGGGAGGAGGGCGACAGGGGTGGTTAGGCACATGCGTGTGGTAATGGATTGTAATTAGTCTTTGGGTGGCGAACATGATGTAATCTATGCAGAAATCGAAATATAATGTACACCTGAAATTTATATATTGTTATATAATACAATGTTACCGCAATAAAAAATAAAAGAATCTATTATAGCTTCTGGTTTTTCATGGACCTCTAATAAAGACATTGTACATCTCTAACAGGTAACTTCATTCTTAAAATACACAACTGTACTCAGCTGACAACTCCAATTCAATAAGTTCCAAGAAACTATACTTTTTCTGGAAGGAAATATAATGGAAAAAGCATTTCAGGTTTTTACAAAATTGGGTTTAAATCCTAATTCAGCAATTTACCAACTTAAGCCAGGTATTTAAATTTCTAAGCTTCATTTCCCTCAATTCTAAAATAGGGACGACTAATCATAATAATAATAATACCTATAAGATGGTTGTAAGAACTAAATGAGGTAAACTACATAAAGTTTCTACTACAGTTTTCTGAACCTATAGGGTAGTCAATACATTTTCACAGTCACAGTGTTTATGGCTGTTATTCTTCACTTGGACCCAATACATAGGGAGACCCCATGGCCCAGTGTTCCCAAGACAGTCCTCTTTTACACCTATTGTTCTGGCATGATTATTAATGTGCCTCCTTTCACTTGCCAAGGTGTCCCAGTTGAGATGATAAGTTCCAGACATTTCCCTATTTCCCATCCTTATGAAAATGGATGAGGCCAACAAAGGTCAGCTTTTATACCAAGTGAGTGTTAGTTAACCTGTGATAGGAGGGAGAATTACAAAGTCTCACTACATCACTCAATAATGAGAGGCCGGTCCGGACGTGTCATAGTGAGCTTAATTTTGACCCACAGCTACTGCCCCAAATAGAGGTACTTCCCTTGAGGTTGGTGGTGACATCAGCTGCTGCGTACTTTTCATTTAGTTGACACACATTAACAGATGCTATGTCTGTTGTGTGTCTGAAGAGGTGGCCATTGGACATGAGCGATTTGTTTTTGTTGCTCGAACAGAAAAATGGAGACACAGATCTCCAGCTGTCAGTGATAAGTGCATCTAATTAGTAAAACATAACCAAATAGAATATAAGTATGTAGTGTCTGCAAGTAGTAGGCACCCGTGGTAAACTGAATAATACCCCCAACTCCCAAAGATGTCCATGTCCTAATCCCCAGAACCTGTGCCTATGTTAGTTTACATGGCAATGGGGAATTAAGTTTGCAGATGGAATTGGATTGCTAATCAGCTGATTTTAACATAGGGAGATTATCCTTGATTATCCAGGTGGGCCCAACGTAATCAGAAGGGTCCTTATAAGAGGGAGACAAGAAAGTCAAAGGCAGAAGTAGGAGATGTGACAACAGAAGCAAGAGTGATACCAGCCAAGAGACCAGGAACCAAGGAATGCAAGTGGCCTCTAGAAGCTGAAAAAGGCAAGAAAATAGATTCTCTGCTCAGAACCTCCAGAAAGAATGCAGACCAGCTGACACCTTTATTTTAGACTTTTGCCTCCAGAACTATAGGATAATACATTTGCATTAAGTCGCCAAATTTGTGTTAATTTGTTACAGTAGCAACAGGAAACTAATGAAGTACTCAATAAATATTCATTGTTGAATGAATTGAATGAATAAATGTATTAAGAAAACAAGCACAATTAGGATTGAGCCTAAAGGGCTTCTTGCTTCTTATAAATTATTTCTTTACTTACTGGGAAAGTAAGAAAATAAAAAAGAGGAAAGAAAAAAGGACAAAAGGGAAGAAGAGAGAGAAGTCGAGGAAAGAGGAAGGAAAGGAGATTGTTTAGTTGAGATTGATTAATTTAATGACATCTCCCATATCTGTTGTTCTCATCATACTTCTTTAAGTATAATGCCTGAGGAATTCATATGCACACCTGCTGCCAATTATTAATTAATTAATTATAGTGTTGACAACTCAAACAAAGAATGGGAAAATACTAAGACACTTTGAAAATTATCATTTCTTTTTATTATTTTATAAGCAGGTAATCTTAATATAAACAAACACTTTATTAATATAATTTACAAATAATATGAACTATAGTCATGTGCTGCCTAACAACGTTTCGGTCGATGATAGACCGCATATACAGCAGTGGTCCCATAAGATTGTACTATATAGCCCAGGTGTGCAGTAGGCTATACCATCTAGGTTTATGTAAGGACACTCTATGATGTTTGCACAATGATGAAATCGCCTAAAGACACATTTCTCAGAACATATCCGCATCATTAAGCATCATGTGGCTGTATAAATATTTAAAATATAAAATACATTTTAAATATAGAAATAACATAAAATATATAATATAAATAAATATAAAATAAAATACTATATCTATATCCATTACTCAGATAAGCCAAAATTGGAAAGTATTGGGATCGGAATCCAAATAGGGATTTAAGTCCTAGGTTCCTTTGTTGGATGATCTTAATCAAGTCATTTCTCTTCCTCCATTTCTTAATGAAATCATTTATAAAACAAGGTTAGGTAAAAATGCTTATCCTGACAGGTTCAAATGAGCCAATGAATTTAAAACCCGTTTGCAAATGTCAAGCACTACACCAATGCTGAGTTCTATGAACTTCTCTCCCTTTAAAAATACCCACCTCTTTCACGGTTACATGCAAAACAATATGGAAAGTGGACCGTGGCAAGCGGATGGTTATTTACTCAATAAACACTTGTTGTCCTAAACCTCAATATTTTCCACTCCCCAAACTACATTACTAGTGTTTTTCTGTATAAGGAGACCACACAATCACTGTTTCTCCTTTCTCCTTTCCACAAATCTGTCCTCATGGATTCAGGGCATATCTTGTACAGAAGCAGCAGTTCTCCACCATGGCTGGAGTTGTAGTCATAATTAAGGTCACGCTAGCAGGTCATAATCCATTCTGAGGTAGGCCACAAGTAATTTGCAGGACAATTTAGCACTAATTTAATGTAGACGTTAGCTCATAGTTTGTTTTTTCTGCTCCAACACACTCATGAGCCAAAGAATGAGAGGAATTCTATCCCCTCCCGGTCCAGAGCATTGACTTTAGACCTGGGTCCTTCTTTCCTCCAAAGGAATGAACAGCCTTTTAGTGTTGCCAAATGAGGGGGCCGAAGTTGCCAGGTGAGCTCACACTCCAGCTAACCCTTCACAGGCTCCTGAAGTAAGATGTGTCTCTGCATCACTCAGGGATCACCTTCAGCATTTAGTCTCAACCAAAACTGTATTCTATCTTTCCCACATAGTGTGTGTTTGTTTTAATTGACCAACATTTAAAAATTAGAAAATTTTCACATAAGAATCCAGATTCTGGCCTCTCTGGAACAATCCGAAGATCTAATAACACCAGGTCTGGATGGCCACTTGGCAACAGCTGAGTGGGGACTACCCCTTCTAGATGGGCCACGTTCTCTCGCTTGCTGCGGTCTCACCACCTCTTATTTTTCTCACACCTAGCTGACAGAGATTGGAGTCTGTGATCCCTGATCTGCGGCCACGAGAGGGAAAGAGCTGAAGAGAGGGAGGCTTAGCGCTTCGAAAACTGAAGGAACCCATATGTCCATCAACTGATGAAAGGGGAAATATTATACAATGGAATATTATTCAGCAATAAAATGGAGCCAACTATATGCTACAACATGGATGAATCTTGAAAACCGTATGCTAAGTGAAAGGAGCCAGTCACAATAGACCACACATTGTATGAGTCCATTTATAGGAAATGTCCAGAATTGACAAATCCACAGAGACAGAAAGTAGATTAGTGGTTGCCTAGGGTTAAGGTAGGGGAGTGAATGCTAATGAGTACAGAGTTTCTTTTAGGGGTGACGAAATGTTCTAAAATTGATTGCAGTGATAGCTGCGTAACTCTGTGCATATACCGAAACCCAGTGAATTGTACACTTTACATGGGTGAACTGCATGGTATGTGAATTATATCTCAGCAAAGCTGTTATTAAGAAAAAGAAGAGGGCTAGCCCCAGGGGCCTATGGTTAAGTTCAGCACGCTCTGCTTCAGTGCCTGGGTTCGGTTCCTGGGTGTGGACGTATGCCACTTATCTGTCACTGGCCATGCTGTGGTGGTGACCCACATATAAAAGAGGAAGATTGGCAGTAGATGTTAGTTCATGGTGAATCTTCCTCAGCAAACAAAAAAAAAAAAAAAGAAGAACTAAAGGGAAGAGGGGCCTGATGCCAGCAGTGCATAGATCTCCGTGAACCGGAGAGAGAGAAGTTGCAAGTTTGGTTCAAAGATGGGGGTCCTGTGTACCT